TCCATGGCCGCAGGGGCACAGCCGGCCTCACGTGGGCTTTACCACAGGCTGCCGGGGAATCTCTGCTCCAGCACCTGGAGCACCTCCTCCTTCTTCACCAACCTTGGTGTCTGCAGGGGTGTTCCTCTCACATATTCTCACTCCTCAATCCAGCTACAACTGCGCAGGGTTTCCCCCCACCTCTTCTTAACTCTGAGAGGTGCTGCCACCGTTGCTGATGGGTTTGGCCTTGGCCAGCGGCAGGGCTGTTTTGTTTCCCGCGGGGCCAGCCGGCTGGCACTGGCTCTGTTGGACACAGGGGAAGCTTCTGGCAGCTTCTCGCAGAAGCCAGCCCTGCAGCCCCCACCGCTACCAAAACCTTGACATGCGGGTTTTGCCACAGGACTATATAAAACTGTATACAACGTAACTGCTCTTTTTCCAGATTACCCACCAAACCACACCAGTTTAGGTCATTATTTCTGAACTAACCACGAATTCCTAAGTCAGGAGTCTACAGAACTTCTTCCAGTGCTTAAACTGACATTCTACTACCGATGCAGTATACTAACCAAACACTGCCTGAATACACCTCTCTCTGATATCACTTACCCTTCTATATGTTTTTATTCCAATGAATTTGAATACATACATAACTATATAAGCCCTCAAGAAATCACATTTTAAATGAAGAGCAAACATAGTTTCATAGCTGCTTTTACTTTTTCATTCCTATGTTATGTTTATTTTAAAACTTAGATGGCAAGGAATGAGAAATACATTATTTTTTTAGGGTTCTGTAAAATGCAAAGCTTACCTCTCCCTTGTGCTAAGTTCCTGTTATATCCTACAGGGCTAAAGTACTCAAATATAAAGACAGCCATGGCAGACACAATGAGAAGCATCACAAACATCATCACCCAGACAGAAGCACTAAAAGGCTCTGCAGCAAAACAGACAAGAGAAACAGAAACACAGTTCATTAAACCAGTCGCAGCGCAAGAATTCTAATGTCTTCGGCAAGGCAAGCCCTTCAGCTTTTACCAACCAAAATGCTAGCAAATAACTAAGTAGCAATATATGAAGAACTGCTGTTACTATACATGGAATTCATACAGTCAAAATCTTAAATGTAAGTTGCAATTCAAAAACAAAGGCTGCATACTTTTCTTTGACAAAGCCTTAACTGACACTGAGTGGTAAATAATTGGTTTGACTCACTGCTTATTCAGTTTACAATCAGGTAGCCCATTTCTATTTATCCTACGTTATATGCATGTATCAACAGAATGGTCTTACCATTATGACTGTGTTTCTGCAGAGCAAAAGCAATTACGCATACATTTAATACAGTTCGTAATTCAGTGAAGAGACTTCTCATTTTCTATGCAACAAAAAGCGTTAGGGGAAAAAAGCTAAATACTTGCATTCAAACTATTTTTTTTTGTTTCAGAATTTTTTTCCTCTGAGTTCACTTTCATCTACCTGCAATGAAGTTGATGATTTTACCAATTGCAAACACGTCCCTTTGAAAGTCTCATTCTCATCTGGGAGCAAATTTCTGAAATCAAAAGGTTTTTATGGAAAACTGAATGTCAGTTTGAAAGACAGAAAAAACAGGATTAAGTAAAAGAAGTAGGTTGGAACAGGAAACTAAGAGGCGTTTCAAATACCAGACTATGCATCAACTTTTTGAAAAGATTGGATATGGTAATAGTATGTGATAACAAAAAGTTCTTAAATACCACCTTTGCTCAATCACAAATTCTCTGCCATTTCAGGAGTCCCTGTGGTAGTTGTCATGGCACAAGGACATATGTAAGAAAGGTTTTGTATGGCAAAGTAATATCTCTTTATTAGGCCAGCTTATTTGGGGGCATTTTAAATCCTAGTTTTGGTAGGTAATGCAAATGTGAGTATGCTCTGAAGTGTGAGGATAAAAAAATCTTAGTATACCATTTCAAATTAGGACAGCATCAAGCATCACATGAAGTGACAAGAAATTAGTGTGTTCCAATGCTTGGCCTGTTTCTGAAAGCCCAAGAGGTTCCTCCACCCTAGCTTCTTCATTCTTTGAATTTAAGCTAAAATTTGAACCACTGAAAATTCTTCCATCATTGCTAGAAACAACTATGAGTGACAGTTGAGGTGTGCTGAGCCCAGTAGCCCAGTCTGAACCTTGCCCAAATTACCATGAATGATTCACCCAGAACTAGAATGAAGTATAATAATTTGGGCCCAAGCATGGAAATCTCATGAAGTCATTTCCCTTTGCTACAGTTCAGTAATTTGAAACCGAGAAAAGACCAAATTCCAAATAGTCCCACTGGTGATTTTGGGTACAAACTAAAAAGGCAAGGCAGGGAAATTTTAAGCCAAACTGTTCTATTTCTGTTTTTAAGATAAGGCTAAGGAACAGGGGATTTGGGTTTTATGGTTTGTTTGGATTTTTTTCCCCCAAATTATTTTATTTTTAAGAGAGGTTATGAAGTTCTTTCAATTACTATAATTATTTGCTTAGAAGAGAATAGTAAGTTAGCAAAACAACAGAATTCTTAAAAGGCAGAGAAAGATTCATTCAGATGCAGACAGGTAAAGGACATTATGTACCCAAATACAGGTAATAATAAATATACTATGAATTCACATATTAACTGGAATAAACTGGAATTCACATAAAACTATCATACAATTTTGAGAGCATTTTCATAGAAGCAAGCAAGCCTGATAAAACTCTTATCAAAAGCAACAGTGTAGAAACAGCAATGGCAATGTGGCAAAATCTAAATATGGCAGAGGGCAAAACAAGCCAATGTGAAAAAAGTGAGCTACAAACAATTTAAGCAGAATGCTATTTAATAATTTAAGCAGTCTGGTAATGAGGTGGAGGATTAAAAGAAACAATAGGAAAATAAAAAGCTATTTAGAATAGCAAGCAGTAAGATTTAACAAGTACAAAATCAATTGAATAACAAAGTCGATCTTCCTGTCATATTAGAGATCAAATTCCACATTCAGCACTGTTCTTTGATTCTCAAAGGACAGAAAGAGAACTTCCCCCAGGCAAGCAGCAGGTTGTATAAGAATTTTCAGTAAAGCTATGATAGGTCAAAAAAATACTAATATATGACTTACTAGTGTACATTTCAAATGATTGGCTATGGAGAATACTGAGCAATGAAAAAGACGTCGTACTCTTTGAGTTTTACCTCCCACCACCAAAACAATACTTAAACAATACATAAAATAAACAGGAGCACGGATTTCCTATTCCACCAGTGCCTCCACGAAAAGAAAACTGACCTCACCTATGAACTCTCTCCCTCTTAAAAAACAGAAATTTGAATCTGAGGTTTCCCTTATTTTGTGTGTTTGTTTAAAGTTGAAGAAAATCTCCACAGAATCTTTAAAAAAAAATAGTTGTTGACCTAGTATATCTGGATTTTAGAATTATATGAAAATATTTTAATGCAGATAAAATTCTCCTTTGAAGGAGACAGCCACAACAGAAACAGAGCACAGCAGATAATGAGGAAGAGGCTGTCAGCCCATCAGTTACTTAGATCTGTTGGACACAACCACTGAATGGAAAATCTAGTTCAGACAAAATCCTGTACTTGCCTGCGTTCATAGTGACAAATCACAAAACCAGATATTTCATGAACTGTAATCAAGTGCTATTTTAAAAAAATAATATTGTATTTTGCAGATTTTTAAAAGATCTTTTAAAAGAATTATGTAAGATGACTCTATTCTTAGACAGTCACTTAATTGAAACAAAATCTGTGAATAAATTCAGTTATCTGCCTGATAGTATTTTGCATGACAAAGCATTTTACTACTATGCATACCTTATTGAAATACAGTCAGTTCCAGTAAAGTGACAGTTCATCTACATCTAAAAACCAGAATACACTTCTGAGAGCACAGACTTGATTTACTGGTGCAGTAAATCAGATTTCTTCAAAAGTAATGCTGTTCTACAGAGCTTGGTAAGAAGGGGTTATTAGGGAATTATATGTACATCCAAGTGAACCAACAACATTAAATGCATTTTAGAAAACTAATAACTATGTTGTTGTGAAAAATGCAAAAGCAGCCTCTCTTTTGATGGTAGCTTTTTTTAAAGGTTTTTAAGACGTAAGCAGAGTCCATAGTAAAAATCAACTGCACTTGCAGAACATTTAGAAAACTCCCCAGTACTTATATTTCAAATTATAATTCCAACAGGCTGCAACTGCAATTTTAAAAATTAATTACCTTTACAAGTCAATGACTTATAGAAATGAAAAGCCACTGCCTGAATATTTTCATCAAAAGTACAGTCTCTTATAATTTCATTAAAAAGTCTTTCCTTCATTAAACAAAAATATTAACCATCACCAAAATCTGTTTAGGTATCACCAGGTTTGGGAGTTATTTGGTTACTCACTGTGTTGCATTTATTTGCATCAGCTGTGTAATGTGCCTTTATGGAAGAGGTATGAGAAATAAGCTTTGTGGCTAAATGATGATACTTGTGCAAGAAAACTTAATTATTTGCCCACTTGTAGCTGATATTACACCAACAGTCTGCTCCTCGATGGCTACAAGTGATTTCAGTGGAAGTAAAGGACTTACACTTAGCAATCTAAAAAGAAACCATACAATCAGTCATGCAAAAAATATCATCACTGCTGATCCAACAGACTTGAACTTACTAAACTATTCTGTAAGATATCTAGAAAATACTGATTCCCCCCCACCCCCAATTTCCCTTAAATTATTTTAGTGTCACTAGCACTATTTGCCTGTGCAAAATATCTTTAAAAACACTTGGCCCAAAGAGACTATGAGGAACATAACAGCATTCTGGCCACTTTTGATCCATCTCATGGCTCATTCTCTTTTCAGCTTCAGGTAAATTCAGGCTAACCACCGAAGACAGAAGTAAACAATAAGCACTAAAAGAGAAGGAGAGGGAAATAATGAAAGGAGAAAAGAACAACTGAAACAAGAAACAAACAAGGAAAGAATACCAAAGTCTTTGTTTTGTTATATTCCCTCTCCTTTCTGTCCAGGCTTTAATTTCTTTGCTGTATCTCCATTGTTCAGCTGCATCATCACAACTCCACTGTTCAGCTGCATCAAGGGAGAAAACACTCAGAAGTTCTCCAGGGCAGTAGTATGGTGTTCAGAAGCCAGAGGTAACTTATCAAATTAGCTGTCAGATCTCTTCTAATCATAAGGATTTCTTTTTCTTAACAAGGGGTTTTTAAATTATTTTGTGAATGTGAGTGTTAAAAATATATGAAACCATTTATAATGGGCTAAACAAGCATAAATTAGTTTGTAAAGCAGCAGCTTCTGAGGAAGTAATTTTCCCAACTGAAGACTGGGGGGGATTCTCTTTCATACTGAAATCACTATCAGTGGTTTTCACTTACTGCATCTGAAACCAACAGCAGTATCTTCATGTGCTAATAATCATGTCCATCAGCATGTCGACACAGCACAACCTTCCTAATGTAAAATTCAAAACTTGACAGAAACATGCTAGAAACAAGCTACATAGCTTACCGAACAATGAAACCTACCCAACTCTATAGGAATGCAATTAAATGATCTGGAGGGGTTGGAGAATCATACCTAGAAAAGCAGATGGTGAAACTGTGCCATTGCTCCGTGACACCATGACACTAATCCCAGTCTCAACAAATGGCACTGAAAAGTCAACCACTTCAGAGCGCTCTTCATTAATAGTGAGAGACCCCACAGCCATAACTGCACGATGATATACCACCTGATCCACAAAGAGAAGACACCACCAATATTACTCAGTAGAGAATACCTCATTTCTCCAAAAGAATTAACAACAAACATTGCTAAGTTCTTACTTAAGAGCTCTTTTACCTAACAGCACTTACTTCACCAATCATTCCATTCCACACATTATTGACTTTTTTGCCATGTTTCCCATTAGTCACCAAATAGAGGTCATATGTGAACTTGACGGTTTTAGACAACTTCTTCAAGATATCGATGCAGAATCCTTTGCAGCACTTCTTTACATTAGTTCCCTCATTAGTTGAGTTGCTGTCAGAGAAGAGAGACATAGACATTTCTACTGGGAAAAACAGTTATGTTTTGAAAAACACTTTGAAATTTTGAAAATTTTATGAAAAACATGTTATGTCGGAGTACCAAACTTCAGCATAAAAATGTACATTTTCAATAAGAGACGTTCTCAAGTTGTTAAAGACTAATTAAAACAGGCATATTTCAACATAACCAGAAACAATTCAAAGAGGACTCATTAAAACAATCCAATTTTAGAATATAATCTTCTTTCATGTGACTGAAAAGGGCTAATTCTAGTTGACTTTGAATTTACTATAAACTCACTGTCTTGTCATTAATTCAATGTGACTTACATGTATATAACCAGAATCTTCCCATTTTTTAAAAAGGAAGATGTGAAAACAAGAGCATACCATGTGGGAAAGGGAAAAAGAAAGTGGAAATGAAATGCAGAAGGAAAAGCAAATACAGGAAGCAAGAGGAAAAGAACAGCAAAGTATCAGAAAACAATTATACAACGAAAGAAGCAAGGGAAACACTTAATGAGAAAATAGGGGAATATATTTTGCACTCAAAAAAATAAAACGCTATGTATTTACTTACTTAATTTTGACAAATTTACGACATGGCACGGTGTTTTTTTGGCAACTTTCCATCAAAGGATCCACATCCTCAACAATGACAAAGGGAGCCTCCTCCAGGGTGACAATACTCAAATGGTTATCGTCTGGGTCACTGTCTGCAAAAGAGCTGTACCTTGGCCAGACAGAGTACTTCAGGGTCAGTGAGTTGTTCTCCCATTTCCCCACCTAAAACGCCAAGATACACAGGCTGCTGATATCTGCTTGCTTGTTTTTGACAAAGAAGATCTAATATTAAATGTGCTGGGATACAGGTACAGGAAATTATATCGCAAAGACAAGTCTTGGGGTTTTGTTATCAAAATTACTTTAGAAGTTTTCAGTAACTGCATGAAGTGAGAAAATGCACTGTGGTAAGGACAAATAAGATAACATTATTTTAAGAGATAACAGCTTTATAAAGACTGGACGAGATCAGTTAACACTATTTATCACCTGGCTATAGCTGCACTGAAATTTGACATGCTTCATTTCCATTTGAGCCAGAACAGCAGCCAGATACTCCATTTGTAACCAGGACCAATTTGCACTAATAAGAAAACAGTTCTCAAAAAAAGGTTTTTTTAGAAAATGGAAAAAGAAGACTAATCCACACACACACGTACACATCTGACTGACAACCAAAGCATCATAACATCATTTCTGTATCTTCTCAAAAGAGAAGACTCTTCTATGAAAAGCCACTGGGAAAGCCTTCACCTAGGGTTCCATCGCACCTGAGCCAGGCCAAACCACATTTAGTAAACACTAGTTCAATTGTGTATGATTTAGTTCTTATTAGAAATAACATATTTTATTCAGCTTAGTTAATGCCAGCTGTTGGGGGAGTTTAAGATAGCATACCCCACTTTACATTAAAATTTTCTATTTATTTACTGTTATAAATTATCCCTTCTAAATTAACCTACATTTATTTCCACTTCCAGAACACCAGAAAGGGGCGTATGATTTAAGTATTTTGAAAACTCTCACATGTTATTCCTCAGGTTGTGTTTAATTACTTTGTTTCCATAAATCTAATTGCATGTTTTATCCGAGTAATGATGACAGGTAATATAAATGAGCTAACAATCCACAAAATTTCTAACCTAATGCATTTTAAGAATTCTTCAGTTGCTTAAGCTAAACAAATGATAACATAATCATAAGACTGCTAAATTTTTTTTTTTTCCAAGGAAAATGCTGGGAATTAACAGTACAATGAGACACTCGGGTTCTAAAAATAACTGTAAAAAAATTGTCGTCTACCTTCTGTCTTCTAAAGACTTTAAAATGAATCACAAAAAATCCCAAAGAACATGATTTATATCCACTCCTATTTAGGGAAGCACACAAGCACACGCCCTTTGCAGATTCGTTTCCATCCTTGTTTATAAGTCAAGATGTTTTGCTGAACTTTAATGTAGACGGCAGAAATGCCAACCCTCTATCCACTTAAACGAGGAAATTCAAAGTATCTCCAGGGAATTAGGAATTCACACCTAAATCAACGAGAACTGGGCACAGGATTTCGACTACGTACAGTTCTAGTATGAAATTTAACCAAAACACAATAGGTGAAGCCTTTGTGAAAAAAACATTTCACACACAGGGAAACAGATCTATTTAACTCTGTTCGAGACGGTTATATTGCAAAAATAGTTTAATCGTCACATTATGAGATATATATGATCACATTCACAGCAGAGTCTGTGCTGGTTTACGTTGGCTTAGACGGTGCCATTTATATCTATGCCTTAAGCACGCCACGAACTTGGCCATCTGGAACGGGGACAGTTCCAGCCAGCTCAGCGCTTCAGTCAAACGTGCCAGGTACTACAATGAATTTCAGAAGTGGAAAAAGTGCCCGACCGTCTGCCTATTCCCACCAGCAAGAAGCAAGGAAAGGTGACTGAGGCTCAGTTGTGTCCGTGCGTTCGGGACTGCAGCGGTGGCAGTACCTGCCTTTCTAAATCACCCGATACAGGACTCTGGGAGAGGCAGCTCTGCCTAATCCTGAAGCATTTCCCACTACAAGCCACCTCCTGCACTTGCATCACTGTCCCATGGACCAACAGCAATACGAGCTGCCTAAGACAATATGAGGTCATCTAAGCCTATCAACAATGTAATGACTGTTTTGATGCTGTTAAAAGAGAAATCGTGATCCTCTTTCATACTGCAACTGGAGTAACTGACATTTTATTGTTCTGAGGAGGCTATAACACATGATATTTTTAAATGGCTGAATTTGGGGAAATACTAATTTCTTTTGATAGTCCCACCCATATTGAAGTGTTATATGTTGAATGAATCTCTAATATTAGGTCAAAAAATTTTTATCTGCTGCATTCCATGGATTTATCTCAATATTCACTCCTCATACCTTATTTTTAAAAAATAATTAAAAATTAAGACCAATTAAGACCTTGCCTTGCGTCTTAGGGCCATCGCTACTTCTCTGCCCAGAGGTCACAAGGACTTCATTTGGGCTTTACATGGTGCATAAATTGCATGTCCACTGCAGGTCATCCCTGCTACCACCAGTACACTGGTACTGGTGGTACCGAGCAATCCACGGTGTCAGAAAGCGTAATCACAGAATTATTAAGGTTGGAAAAGACCTTTAAGATCATCAAGTCCAACCCTCAATTCAACACCACCATTCCCACTAAACCATGTCCTAAAGTGACACATCTATATGTTTTTTGAACAATTCCAGTGATGGTGACTCCACCATCTCCCTGGGCAGCCTGTTCCGATGCCTGACCACTCTCTCAGTAAAGAAATTTTACCTAATATCTAGTCTAAACCTCCCGTGGCACAACTTGAGGCCATTTCCTCTCGTCCTATCACTAGTTACTTGGGAGAAGAGACCAAGACCCAATGAAAAAAAAGTATAAGAGAAAGCTATCGATGTCATGAAGAACGGTAAAAAAGACAGAATAGCTCTGAAAACCCTTGCTGGTGGGCTAAGAATGGCAAATGAGGAAGGGTAGTAATTAGAAAGAGCCTGTAGGTCACTCCTTTTGTTTGGGAAATGTTTCTGTTGGATTTGCTTTTTCTAATTAATATATAGTTAGCAGAGGCATTGGATCTGCTCTGCTGTGGAAGCTGGACTAACAAGTGAACAGTTTTGATGTTTATTCGGTATTTTGATTTTAAAACAGCTATACTGTTGAAGATTACATGTTGTACTTCTATCATTCTGCTACAGTTCTGAATGATCAAAACACTTTTTTCTTTTACAATTATTTTAAGTGGAGAGTAAAAACTTAGTTTTGTACAATTAAAGCAAATAGTCAAAATATGGGAAGATTTTTATAATTGTATTAGAAGCCTTTTAGGTTGTACAGAATAATTATAGCATTGTTATTAAGAATATGAATTATATTAATTGTTTACACAATGTTTTGTATCTTCATATATTACTTAGTTTTTTCAACAATCTTGTGCAATTGATAGTATCCCTTTTTTACAGGGTGAAGGGTTGAAATGACACAGGAAAGCTGTAGAATAAGCAAAACTAAAACATGAGCAGGTTGCCATCAAAATAAAGAGAGTTTATGAAATTGCATCCATATGTACGTGTCCTGCAGGATTGGCATTTATGTCACTTATGAAAGTCAGATCTAGTATTAGATCCAGTCAATAGCCATTTTGAATGCCTTTAAAACCAATGCTTGGGGTAAAAACCAACAGGTTGTAACAACTACACATGCTCATTTTATTTCAGAACATTATAAAGACATCTGCTTATAAAGTGTAAGAATTTGTGTGCAAACCCAAATGTTACATCCTTATTCAACACTGACTCTTAAAGTGGCTTACCTATGACAACAAAGCAAAATATCCAAGTTTAAAAAAGCATGCAAGTCCTGGTTTCACCTGTGAAGGTCATTATAAATGCTGTAGAGTATGAAAAAGTCCATACGTAAAATATGAAAAGTAGAATATGAAAAGTTCAGTTGCTGCTCTCAGTAGGAGACAACGGTGATATTTGAATAAACCATTTTACAGCGAAATAGTTTATCAACCTGAACAGCTTCAAAATTCAATTGCCTCCAGTGTTTTGCAGCACTCATTTTCAGAGTGTGCTACTCCATGTTCATTAAAGTTACTGATGAAATGAACTTAATGTGGCATCCTTCGACCAAGTTCAAGCATCTAGATTTGAGGTAGAAGGGGTCCGTGTTTAAATTAGCATGCTTACCTACTAATATTGGTATCCCTATCCCTACTACAGATACTCTTTTTGCAACATTTTCTGATTTTAATGACAGATTATTTGAACACTAGAACACACTAACTTGCAGGTTAAACTACAAACTCCCAATGTGGAACAGCAGTGAAGAGTAACTCTACACATTCAGCAGAGACCAGAAACAATTTTCACAGCCAGTCTATCAAAGATCAACAGGTACACAAAAATAAAACAGTGGTGAACTCACATGTAGGATAGAGACACACTGCCTCTCCTGTGGAAAGGTTATTGCTACAGTGAAGAATGACTATCTTATTCCTTCATCTGCAGCCTAAAACTCCCTACTTGTACTTGATCAATCTCAAGGGGACTCTTTGCCATTCAGAAGCTTTTTCTTATCTCCTCAGTCTTCAAGCCATCACTGCTTGGAAAAGGGTATCCAGAGGAAAACAGAGAATTAGAATACTGCACCAACCTGCCAGGTTGCCAAAATTATATTTTGATAGGTGGGGAGATGAGTAGAAGAGAACTTTTCCAAAGATAATTTCCATTGTCCTAATTTCTTGAAAGAAAACAGTTCAGAAAGTGGGCCTTTTACTGTTCAAAATGTAAACCCAGTATTTGAACTAGCTTGTAAACAGAAATAAAAATGTTTTAATAAAGACATTGCACTTATAGTTCCAGACTTGCTATCTAGAAATAGATGCTAATTTATCAGAAAATGTAGGGATAAATAAGAGGTGGAAGAATTTCAACTACTTCAATCTGTTGTTTTGGGTTTTTCGTTTGGATTCAAATTATTAGAATTTGAAATTTTAACTTTTTTTTCTCTGAAACAGAATGGAAATATTTTTAAGATTTCAAAACTTTGTGTTGGCCAGGGCAATCGTTTCCCCTAGCTCCTGGAAGCAAGACTACTGCCCAAGAGAACTCCGCTGAAAATATAGCTCATTAACAGTTGGCGGCCAGAGACACATTCCAACCG